CATCCTTAACGGGAACGAGCTACATAAGAAGACATTTGTCGGTTTATATTTCAAGTGTCTTCCCCAATCTGAAGCTGATTATGCTTTGTGAGATTCATTCTAGGATGAGGGGCAACCTTCACTAGTCTTGAAAGGTCACATCAATGTCTTGGGCATGATTGTAGTGAGGTAGTCTTCATGCATCTCATTCAGACATCAATTCTATGATTTCTTCAGAGTTGCGCGGTAACCTTCATCGCAGTCACGAAATATCGTTCACTTTAACGTCCCGAGCACGATTTTGGTGGGGTAGTCATCCCACGGGAACTGCTTCCAGACTGTGGGACAACTTCACAAATAACACTTTCTCAGTCCCCCTCCCTCTCCCCAAACCATACTAGAATTCCTCCCCAACTGTATCAGGAAGCTAATCTTTTCAAGTTTATACATTGACTGCTTTACAAGCTCGTGTGGAAAACACACTCGCTGGGGGAAAACAAATTCAAAAGCAACAATTAGTAAGTTGCCAAACATTTTTTTTTATTATGACTGCAACTATATTCTAAGAAAAAAATAGGGTCCATTACGACCTATGCCCAATTTCGAGAAACTCAGAGCATTTCTGACATCTTATTCTAGGTTTAATCAGTGTCACGGGGACTCAATTCGACCTTTTCCATCACAGACTACAATTGTCGAGTAGAAGCTTCGACTAGCAACCTCATGTAAGTAAAAAAATTATTGGTGAATTTCCTTTGACCTCTTGCATCACAGGTTATTATCATCAAGCAGAAGTTTCGACTAACAACCTTGTATAGGTCAAAAATCCTTTGATGGATCTGTTCTATTTTTTCCATAGCGGGTTACGGTCATCAAGCAAAAGCTTCGACTAACAATCTCGAATAGGTCAACCATCCTTGATGGACTTCATTTGACTTTGCCCATTCACATGTTAACGTTCTTGAGCATCTCCGACTAAACAACCTAGGACAAATATTACATCTTTTGCGGATTACAACTGACTTCTTCCACAATAGGTTGCAATTATGGAGCGGGCGCGCTCTGACTAAGCAACCTAGGCAAATTCAAACATTCTTAACAGCACCTCAAAAGGTGGGCAAAAACATCGTAGAAGAGGGGCAACGACAGTTTAGAAGGAAAGACAAAAGCAATCTCAGAAACAACATCAAAATCTGTATTGCATAAAGCAAGTTAAAGACATACAAACAAATACGTTTTTACTGTATATAAATGCCACATCATGTGATTGAAATGCTACAAAGATCAACGCACAATATACAAAATCAACAAGTTGGTAAATCTTCAAATGGTTTCGACATTGACTCTTCAAAATTTTGATATTTTTGTCAATTTTAAGGAGACGATCTCCTCAAAAAATCACCTCTACAGTGCATAAAAGAAAATTATGGATTGAATGGTAGGCATGGTCGAAGACGACTTTCTTCTCTCAGAGCTTGCCATGCAGGTCAATGATAACATTCTTCTTCCTCTAGAAAGCACGATTGTAGCACGAAAGAAGATCCTGAATTTCTTGCTAGGCAGGGTTGGGGACAATTTTCTTCTTTAAAACACCGCGAAAGATGATCCTGGATGTCTTGTTTGGCAGGGTCAGAGATAACTTTTAGGGCGACTTCTTGCTTCTTCACAGTAGTACTAAAGAAGATAAAATAAGTGATCCTAGATCACCTATTGGATGGGGATGGGGACTGTTTTTTTCTTCCTCTCATTTCTTCTTTTGGGAAATCTCAGATCACCTGTTGGGCAGGGTTGGGAATTCCACCTCAACCTTCGTCTTCTTTCATATTTATAGACTCAAAATCATCCACATTTGGACCAAAAACAGTTTTAGGCATTAAAAAAAAATGGTTTCAAGCAGTAAAGGGAAAAAAAAGATGTTTTTAGGCATTAAAGAGAAAAAGTTGTTTCTATCATTAAAAAAATTTATGTGAATTGCATATAATGTTCATAAATATAAACCAATCTTAACGATTATGTTTATCCAAAAGTCATGTGAATTCTTTTCATATTTTTGAAATCCATCTGAATTCAATGGGGCACTCGATACGCCATCAACAAATTTTCATTATCTGACATGATCTTAAAGCATGACACGGATCTCGAGATAATTTTTTTTTGACTAATAAACATTTAAACTTTGATCAAAATTCATTCAGAATTCTGATTTTAGAAACTTACAGTCAAACTGACCGACTCAATGAGACGAACCCAATGGTACTACCAAAATTGGTCCAATCCGAACTAAATCAAACTTCGATTAAACCATTAAACCGTTTTTTGAACTTTTCTGAGCATATTTGGAAGGTCAAACAGATATCGAATCTGACGAGCTTATAGTCCAATGGAACGTCTTGGCAAGACGAATCTAACGAGACCAAGATCACTCAATTCGAACATCGTTATGACACTTAAATATCCATCAAATGTCGTCTGATCAATGAAATTTTTTTGGGTTGTCCGATCAGAGCGATTTAGATTTTTTCATTAATTGTAATCAATACTCTATATATAGAACACTGAGAGTAGGTTTAGAGCTTGACACTTCAGGAAGACTGAAGCTTGGACCGACGATTCGACGAACGCCTCCTGCTCAAGCAATTGTCTACCGCCGCCGACAGCCGCCAATCATCACTCATAGGCCGACATCGATCAACATCTATCGTCGCCTGTTCCTTGCAATGAAGCACCGTATGAAGCAACCTACGAACTGATGTCATCGTCTCAGATGTCATGCTGAATCTGAAGACTGCATTGAAGCCCTTATTATGACTCCTCTTTGCAATCGCTCCTTACAGCAACACTACAATTCCTTTCACGCACCGACGTTGTAACTTGAGAGGCTGTGTGACTCTTTTCCGTATGTGGGACAATGGACTTCATATGCAATCGTTAGTTTATAATGGATCTCTTAAACTGAGCTAGACTCCGTGTTTTTTTTTTCGGGTTTTCCAAGTAAAAAATTTTTTGGTGTTTGTGCCCATCATTTATATTACCTGAGTGTGTGCTGAGTTTTTGTGCAACGCTAAGACGTTAAGTAATCACTTGACTACCGTGAATTCTCTTGCACGCATAAAGAATTTTAATAGTCGGCTATGACAAGGTAGGTTTCACCAACTGCGCCTTGGCCCTCTCCTCTCGCTACAAATTTTGAACTCATTTAGCACATTGAACATGATCATGCAGTATTATGCATTTTCCTTCTTTGGCCTGATTATGTTTCTTTCAACCATATAACTCTAATAACATTTTAATTCAACAAGGATCCTTTTTAGCATTTCTATCTTTTCCTGTTATGCATGGTGTTGTTGGAATTAAGAAATTATTCAGTCTGTTTGCAGAAACATCTTTTTTATTGCTAACCAAATGAATACTTTAAATATATGGTGTAGCATTACGGGAAGTTGTATTTGAACCAAAAACTTTATTTTGTTTGGATGCATGATGACAACTTAACAAGGCTGTGATTGGGCAATTTTAACTTGTAGAAAAGCCCCGTGCAAGTTTTCTCTCAAGAATCTTTCATATATTATAAAGCTGACCAAAAAAATTGTTAAAGTTGATGTATTAACACATGCTATAAAGTTTCATTGTTTCAAGAGGGTTCATATCAAAGGTTTTATTTTATTTTTTCCTTGTAATGCACCTTGAACAATTGGAAGTTGCCTTGGGTAAACTGCGTTTTGGCAACTTATGCGTTTTCAAAACGTTGAAAACAACGTTTTCACACCGCACTTATCAAGGCGCAGTGGTAGCTTTTTGGCAGCGGTCTGACTTTTCCAAAAAAATAAAAATTTATAATAGCCACCGCACCTAGCTTATCAACAAATTATTTTTAATCAGCTTATCAACAGATTATTCAATAAACTGCAGCTGCCCCAAATAGATCCCAAGACTTAGGGTCTGTTTGGGGTAGCTGCAGTTTTTTGCATAATCTGCTGATAAGCTGATTAAAAATAATCTGCTGATAAGCTAGGTGCGGTGACTATAAGAAATTTTTATTTTTATGGAAAAGCCAGACCGCTGCCAGAAAGCTACCACCGCACCTAGATAGGTGCGTGTAAGATTTAAAACATCACTTGAATCTAATATAATAATTTTTATTTTATTTTCTTAATTAATACTTTTAATTGATTATAAATCTTTATAGCCTTATAGTCAATTAATTTTTTTTAAGATACTACTCATCAAAGATATATATATAATTGATTAGTAATATTTCGAGCCAAAATGAGCCGAACACGAACGACAAATATTTGTTCGTGTAGTTCGCGTTCGGATCGTTGACTTAGCGAACGAGCCGAACACAAGCTGTTCGCGAACAACGAAACATTTTGACAGTTTTAGATTTAAGTGGTATAAATGTTAACTACCTCAAACAGACCCTTAATTTAAAGCGATTATTTCAGTTTACATCTAATTTTCTATTCTCATCTAAAATCCCTCACATGACCAAGGGCTTATTTGTGATCAATTTTATTATTTTTTGCTTTATTTTATTTTATTTTTAAATAATATTTGTTAAGTATAATATTCCCCCATTTTTAATTTTTTATTTTTAAAAACAAATCAACTTATTTTTAAATATGCAAAATAAGTAAAATTATTTTGAGTGTTCTAAAAGACAGTTCGACTTTTTTAACATAGTAAACATATTTTATTTCAAATTAAAACATAAACAAAAACTAATCAAATGCACAAAATAAAGAATTAAAAAAAAAATGTTTCCAATGGGCCCCTAAACTTATCTTAAAATCCTTAGCAAGAAAATTTGTTTGTTTTTAGGGTAATGAATTGGACTCTTGTTTCTAATGATTCAACCCTTAACCCATATTTTATTGCACCCTAAACTGTTAAAAATCTTCTTTAATTTAAAGCGACTGTTTCAGTTTACATTTGATTTTCTAAACTTACAATTAAAATCCCTCACATGACAATTAGTCTGTTCTCAAGTTAACGACTAAACTCTTCCCTATTTCATGCAGGTAATGGACAAACACTTGAGCATTCTTGCAAAGCAGCATACAGAGACACGTTTCCTCAAAGTTCATGCAGAGAAAAGCCCATTTCTGACCGAGAGGCTTAGGGTGGTTGTGCTTCCAACGCTTGCTCTCATTAAAAATGCTAAAGTTGATGACTATGTGGTACGAATATTGAAAAATAAAATGCTTATTGAATAATATCCTCCATTTAACCTCTTAACATTTTCTGCATATAATTCTGAAGGGGCATTTATATACATACCACACCAATTCTTATGTATGTACATATCTAACATCTTAACTTTTCCTTTTAGATTTATACCACTCAAATCTTTCATATAACACCATGAATACCACTATTTCAACTTCAAAAAAGTGAAATATACCTTTTCATGCATATGCAAGGTCCACGAATACCACTATTTCAACTTCAGAAAAGTGAAATATACCTTTTCATGCATATGCAAGGTGGCGTATACGTAAAAATGGAAGTTAAGATATTAGATATGTAAATACATAGAGATTAAGTGGTATGTATGGAAATCTTCCTATTCTGAAATAAATGCATTCCAGGTGGGTTTTGATGAGCTTGGAGGTAATGATGAGTTCAGTACAGAGGAACTGGAGGAGAGACTTGCCAAATCCCAGGTACTATTTTTTGAAGGTGAAGCATCTTCAATTCTTAACAGGTCTCGTGCCTCTAAGAGAAGCATTCGACAATCAGAAAGTTCTAATCTTTCTGATTCAGATTAGCAATAATTTGTATCTGATTCTGATTCTAAAGGGCTTGAATTTTTGTTAGCTTGCCATTAATTATCTTTTGTTGCAAGGATCTGCTTTGTTTGATTTTAGTGTTAGAAAGTGTGTGGAATGTTTGATATTGAGTTTCAGAAACAAAGTTCAGTGATGTTATCAGCTATTGGAAGAAGGTTCATTTTAGGCTTTAATGCTATTGTATTAATTATTAGCTATTGTTATTGTCGTCTTCATGAGATAGAATGATGTTATAAACTTTTGTCCTTATATTTATGTTCTCACCAAAGGTTCACTCCAATCTCTTAGAAAAGCCTATGGTTGTAATATCATTGTTCTATATATTTCTTTCTCTCTGGACTGGATTGATCCAACCCGACCAACCATGACCCGGTCCTTTCCCCACCGCCCTTCGCAACTATTACATCTCGAATTGTCTTTATGAGATAGAATGATGTTATAAACTTTTGTCCTTATATTTATGTTCTCACCAAAGGTTCACTCCAATCTCTTAGAAAAGCCTATGGTTGTAATATCATTGTTCTATATATTTCTTTCTCTCTGGACTGGATTGATCCAACCCGACCAACCATGACCCGGTCCTTTCCCCACCGCCCTTCGCAACTATTACATCTCGAATTAAGATTTTAGAAAGAGAAGAGTGAGCGAGAGAGCAATTGGCAGAGACCGAGAGGGGGGAGAGTGGCATGCACATGCATGGATAAACCTCCTCTTAGTGTGCCATAGGGGCCGTCCGAGGTCTCGCGAGTGCGAGCATGGAGAACAATTGGTCATGTAAGTGACGGCTTGGGTGGCTTTGATGGCTTCACAAGATTATTTGTGGTTGCCGAGAATAGATAGGTGGGAAATAAGTTTTGTTCATTTTTCTTCTTCTTCTTCTTCTTCTGCTTTCTCTTCTCAGTTTTACTTTTCTTCTACTAACCTCATCATCCTTTTTATGTTAGGATAATTAGGATAGGTGAATCCTTTCTTATTTATATGTGTGTGTGCCTTATGTTGCTATAGATCGATTTATATGAATTAGCAAATGGGACTTTTTAGAGAATTTTGGGGGAAAAAAAATCAAACTAAAGTTTAGCACTAATGGGTACTTATCCTACAAGTTATTTAAAAAAGAAACTCTTGATGACTGAGAGGTATATGAATATAGTATTTGAACTTTCTTTTAACTTGTGAACAGCATAATATCACCCAAATTTTCTTAATTTGCTTAACAAGATTATTTGTGGTGAACAGCATAATATCACCCAAATTTTCTTAATTTATATTCAACAAACTAACATTATGAATTGATGTTTAATTCCATGTCTTTCTCAATTGATTATATTCTTAAGTAGATCTAAACACATGAAAATTTGAGAGTTTATATTTGGTATTAATTATGAAAAATCTTATAATAATAATAATAATAATTGATGCTTTCTTAATAAATTTTTATCATCCAACATGAATCTAGATGCATTTTTAAACAATAAAGATTTTAAATTCAAATTCAAGATTATCTAGGGTCCCGATTTCAGTAGGGTTTTAGCCTAGTTAATCAACTAGACAAGACAAATCGAATGATATCAATGTTGGGTCAATTTGGGTTCATCAAGCACTGGTCAGACCATTGAAGCATATTTAGAGGTTTTGAATTTTCGATTAAATGGTCAAATGAATTTCAAATTTGACATATAGTCAAATTGAGCGTCTCGGCGAGAGGAATTCAATGAGTTTAAGATCACTCAATTTTGAGTTCATTAAGGCACTCAAATCATTAAAAACCCCTATAATTAAGGGATAAATATATGTCGTTTGATCAAGTTGTTGGGATGTTATTTGTTAAAAGATCAAAATGCCCCTCACATAAAGGCTATAAATAGACCACTCTATTCACTTAGGGGGGGAGAAGAAGAGAAATTTAGAAATTCATTCTAGTTTGAAGACCCAATGATAACTTTTGGCTTCTAGCTGCTGACCACCGTCAATCATAGCTTGTCGCCACTGATGACCACCACCGATCACCACCATCTACCGTTATCTACCCTCGGCCGCTGACGACCTCTGTTTGCAAATATCACAACCTGAATACGATTGTAACGTATAACACCCACATTGAATATTAGATGATAACTTTTGATCTCTATAGCTGTCGACCACTGTCGACCACCACATGTCGTTACACCTATCGCCGCCGACCATCAACCATCGGCGACCAGTACTTGTGACCTTCATAACCAGCATATTATGTTTGTTTCTAACACCAATAAATATTGTATTGATGTAAATATTAACCCTATTCTCCCACTTGTTAGAAAAGGGTGCACCCTTATAATTACACATTATAGTGGATTATTTTGATTAGATAAGGTCCCGTGATTTTTTTTTTCTTTTTAAAAATTCTCACGTAAAAATTTGTTGTCTTTTTCTGCTACTTCTCTATTTTCTCTCTGTGTTAGATCTTCGTGCACTATTATAATATTAAATTATTGCTTTATCGTCATGAATTTTTTGACGCAACAATAATAACAACAACAATGACAACGATGACGGCGACGATAACGACGACGACAACAACAATAATAATAATAAATTAACAAAATTAGTATATGCATTATGCAACTTAGGGAAGATAGAATGCTATGATAATTGAGCCTTAAATGGGGGGATCCAATATTTCATGAATCCATAATAAAAGATTTTACATATAAGAAATATTAGATAATTCAGTCATTTATTTGTTGAGATAATATAATGGGATTTTTTACGGGATACCATGCAAAACCTATCGACTTAATTATCTGACACATAAAGTTTAAATATTATGTGCATACCACACAAATTGCCGCCGTAACGTCTTCTATGACTCCGTTTCAATCACCATCACAATTTTTCGATGACTACCTCTTCTCCAGCGAGTACAACATCTTCGAAAACATATTACATTCGGAGTCCGAACGTAAGCTGCGTTCGCACAACGACTGCGGTCCACTGGAAAGAGCGGAGGAAAAAAAAAAAAACCGACAACCGTTGGATCGCAGCCGTTCTCTAGACGCAGCATACATCCGGACTCTGGATGTAGTATTTTTTCCTCATCTTCGGCCCGCAAGACGCTCTAATTGCAAGATTATGAGCCGAAGGAATAAGAACAATAAAACGACTGAAATCTATAGTATGCCAAAGGAGAACATCCATCTTATTATAGCAACATGAAGGAAGTGTTTGGTAGCACATTGCAATAAGATTTATTAATAGATTTATAAGTTCTTGCCAAACATAAAAATACAAGAGTTTCATGAATTTACGAATTTTTGGATTGCAATTCGCCCTCTCACGAATTTATTAAATTCATGAGAGGGCGAGGTGGATTTAACAGCTTTAAGATTATCATATTTATTATATAATATTAACTCTAAATTTTACTTGCAGCCAAACACATGGCGAAAGAGCGCTTATTGCGTACGGACACCACAGGTAAATTTGCGTGCGGTGTCTAATCTGGACCATAGAAATATATATTTTTATATATTTTTTATTAGAATGAGGCTTAATCTAAATTTTTGACGATTCAGATCAGACACCGCACGCAATAATTTTTCTCGGCTAAGACTGAGAATAAAAGAAAATTTCCTGCATTCGTCTTTATGCTGGAACTGAAAGCGGTGGCCAGAGTAAATATATTGTACATGAGACTACAACAAATGAAAAGTAGCCTTCTATTCTATTTAGGTCATCTGTTGGAGTGCGACAATTCTCTTTAAAGTATATTGCATGAAATGTATGAAATAGGCATAATATTTTATAAAATACATGTGGTGGTATGTTTAACCTTTTGGATGATAGCAAGCTGGCCCAACGAGTTCACAGAGTGACGCTAACCTCGAGGTGTCAAATTATTCGACTGAACCACACACCTGCGGGATCGAACCCCCAACCCCAGGAGACTTAGGACTGACATAGCATATGCTAACCAAAGAGACGGAACACCACACACACACACATAAAAACCATGTGATGGGATATTTTGGCATGTGGAACCAACTTATATATATATATATATATATATTACTTTTGTTTTATTGTTTTTGAGAATCATTAAATAAATGTCAATTATAAAAAATCACATATTTTGCATGTGAATTGGAAATGCTATCATTTATATTTTTTTCAATGGGACTTTCACCTACTAATTTTGCTTCTGACAAACATCTCAAATTTATGAATTTCAGGTTGCTAGCCATGATTCTGGCAAAGGAGCTTTTTATATCTGTGCTTCAGGTATATTTTAGAGATGTCTAAGTTTAGGATCATTCAATTTAATTCAATTGTATACTCATAATTTAGTTGGTGGCAAAAAACTATTAAAATCAAATGTATATTGATTGGAATTGTTTCTTGATCTTCAATTCACACTCCTCTGCTTGGTTTTTGTGAATTCCTTCCAATACTTAGTTGGTAAGGATGTAACAAAGTGATATCAGAGCTTATGTTTGATCTTTTAGGCTTAGTCTTAGGACCCGTTTGGCGCAACGGAAGAGCTGCGGGGTGTTTTCAAAACGCTGGCATTAGTGTTTCTTTTCTTCGCCTTCGCTGCGTTGTGTGATAAGTTGATTTTTTTTTTTTTTGTATTACACGTCGCGCTTTTGGAGAAAATTTTTTAAGGCTCTGCCCTCCCCGCGTCGTGCGTCCGGTGTTATTCGCTGTGTTTTTTGCGGTATTATTCGAGCCTTTTGCCAGCCGTTGATTCTCAATGTTATTCGAGGCATTATTCAAGGTGTTATTCGCGGTATTATTCTTGCATTTTGCCAACAATAGATTCGTGGTGTTATTTGTGCTGGTATTCATATGTCATTGTGGTGTTATTCAAGCGATTTTTTGGTGTTATTGGTGAATTACACGGTGTTATTCGAGTTGTTTTCCGGTAGCATTCGTGTGTTATTGCGGTGTTATTAGCTAGGTTTTTTGGTGTTGTTGGTGAGTCACGTGGTATTTTTCGCGTCTTTTGCCAGAGCCGATGTTATTTGAGTTGTTCAAAGGTAGTATTAATGGAAAACTAATTTTATGCGGTGTTATTACATAGGTTTTTTGGTGTTCATTTTGCTAGAGCCGGTGTTATTTGAGTCGTTTAACGGTAGTATTAATGGATAATTA